AATGCTATAATTTTGTTTTCACTTCTTGGGCCACACCGCCCCACATCAGCTTAAACGTGCCGGTCCTCCACTTTATGTCCGGTTCCCATAGGGCTCTGATAAACAGTATGAGAGCACAGCACTCCCTCAACATCCAGGCCACCACAAAGTCAGTCTTACTGAATGGTATGGAACCGTTCTGTACATCACAAATATAACCAATCAATACCAGCATATGGTTCACATTGAATGCAAATTAATCTCTTTTTAAAAGTTATGATTTTCGTGTATTTTGTGTTGTTTGAAGAGGTTTTATAAAATCATTAATTTCGTATTACCATAATTATAAAGCATTTATAAAGCCATGCTCTATAATAGCCATAATCTGGCTTAACATTTAAGCCTAAGATTAAAGTATTATTTCATAAAACCTCTTAAATATGATATACTAATTTCATTGCTCTTCAGTTGACATAATCACAAATGAAAACAACACAAAATATACTCAAATGATATGACAATGAATGAAGAGATAGAGACAGACCTGAACTATACATAAGAGCACATAATCGAGAAGAAACCACAGGAGGAGGTGGACTAAGTAGACGGCAAAGGGGTCGCACTGGACCAGGAAGCTGACGGCCCACGCGGCCAACACACCCAACATTAAGCACTCGGACAACGGCTCCAATAGAATCATATGCGGGATCATTGCAATCCTCAGTTTAGCCCATCTGTCAGTTCCGGTGTATTCATAATTAATAAACGCATAATCGACACGTATTTCAATACTTTACAAATCAAATGACTCATACATTACAACAAAGACATGAAAATTACATATAATTTGAATCAAAGATTAATGATTTGGCAAAAGTGCTAAATCGTTATTGTTATTACTTATTGTCAGTACTTTCAAACTTTGGTATCAAATTTATAACTATATAAATTCAATACAAATGTCAAAAATTCAATAAAGATATTTGAGATCATATCAAATAAATAGATTATAAATAATTAATCGATTCACAAAAATAATACATCAATATTTAAACACAATAATGAGTCAAAAGTGTTTGCAAAGCATTGTTTTATACGTACAAAAATCAATATTAATTCAATTAAAGGCAATATTATTTTTAGGAGTCATTTGTAATACAAATACAGAAACTGTGGTCATGTATGAAATAAAACAACAAATCAATAATACCTCGTAATTCTGTGTTGGAATGAATCGATATCAGGGGTACAGGAGTTCTGCCACGCGGGCTGAGAGCTTATGCGAAGTTTCCAACCTCTGGGTATCAGTACATCATGAATATCACACAAACAATCACTAGATTGACTTCAAACACATACCGATCAGTGAATGATTTGGCAAAAAAGAAGTCTTCGGCTAAGTATTGGCCAAACGCAGCGATACCTCCGACTTCGTCCAACGGCTTCTTCCTCATCAACGCCGACATACCAGTCGGACAATTGATGCCTAAGAAGTCTGCCGACAAGTATATCCTCGCGTGAGCCGTTCCGAAGTATACCTTCTCGAGCACTGAAGGGAAGCCCTTTCGGTCGCAAACGAACGGCATTTGATGGACTAAAGCCACGTCGTCTGCCATCGACGACACCATATCCAGCAGAGTGTCCTCTTTCACTGGACACACAGTTTGCCATTACTATCATTCATCGCGAGTAACAATAAGTGACACTTACTTCTGATACCGCTGTCAGAGATGAGTATGAAGTCATACTTAGCGGCCTTATATCCCGG